ATTGCACCAAATCTAATAAAAAAATAACGTCCAAAAATGTATAAAATTTTTAGATAGGTATTATTTATATCATTAACAACAAAAAATCGTATCTAAGAAATTAAATAAGCAGAGATAGGATTGAGTTATTATCCAAAATGTTTGAAGGATCTTTAAACCTAGGATATTGACACAGGGAACATTGGAATGCATCTACTGTAATTTTATACTTTAATTGCCTACCGGACTCGAACTGTATTCTGCGTCAATAAGTTTTGTAACAGGGCAAACTACCAAGATTTATTTATTATTTATTACAAGAACGATAAAAAATGTGAAAAACTAACATTATACTTTATCCTACGTATTATAAACTATAACATATTCGGGGCGAAAAAACGCTTTTCAAAACTTAACAGTTTACAATCCAATATCTCACTGTAATGTTTTATTATAACAATTTGAAGTTTGTCTAGATTGATTATCTGTCATTATTTTTGAATTGAAATATTTTCATAAATTGTTATAAAACACAAATCAATGTATGGGTACTTAATTGCGATGACGGAAAATTACAAAATTAATATAAGAATTTTTTAGAATGCATATTTAAACAAATTTAATGTGACCGAGTGATCAAGAATGCTCGATAATGTTTTAGTTTTTAGTATACTCCTAAACTGGCGGTCTGTCACAACAGTCCTGCTTTTAGCTGGTTTGATATAAGATTTTCGTTGAACTGGCAACTTTGCGCTAGAATTAGAATGACACATATGACAAGATCAACGTACATAACTTAAAAAACACGATTTTTGATTATAAGAGTTGTACCAGTTTTTTATGACGGGAACGGTACTATGTGCATTACATTTTTATTTTAGTTTGTTGGATGAAAAAAAAATGAGAAAGATAATTATTGTACCAGATATTTGAAAAAAACTTGATGTTATCAGAGTTTTATTACTAAAAAATGCTCGACTACATCAGAAGGAGCTCGAATATGAAAATGAATAAAATTGTCTTATTTCTCTTGATATACGTTACAAACCCAAAAAGAACGATATTGCACTTAAATGTTGGAAGAATCGGATGTTTTGAGCCTATATATTGGTAATATAGGACATTATTAGGATCTCACTCTCTCAAAGTTTGAATTAAACAAATTTCAGAAAAAAAAAATATATTTCTTTTAAGATTCTTCACTTCCTTATACATATCACTATCCTACAGTTAAGTATTATAAAACAATATCAATGATTTATTTTGCATATAATTGTAGATGATAGGTTTATAAGGTGTTTATAGAAATAATCACTAAAACCACTCTAAAGAGAAAATCCACAACTACTGTACTTGGTCCTTTCTGTCGCTTTTTATTATTCCAATATTGCATCGATAAATAATTTTCCGCGCTGACATACACTACAAAATTATAATTAGTAAAATATAACGAAAATTAGAATTAATATAATTTAATTATCAATTATTTTAATAAGGCAGTAACGTCACTTTTGAAAACAAGCTTCATCAACATTCCCCAGATCAAGACAGAAAAAAATGAGGAGGAAATAAGTAAATTGTTCTTTATGATATTCTTAGTGTTGATCGTAAAAAACCGTTGAGCGTCAAATAGATGCAGCCAAATTCAATATCGAGAGGTGGTAAATTTCTAGAATACATAGTATTAATTTGTTTCATTAAGAGCGCTCCGAAAAAAAAATTGATTGTAAAAAATCTGTGTATCCGGCCGGTGATAAGTGCAGTCAAAATTGCAACCTATACGGAGCAACTGATGACAGATTCCTCAGTAAAGGTTATTGGAACAGGAAGTTTTCACTTAGTAATAGAAATTAACCATATAAAGAAATATATAGAAACAAAGTATATTTATCTCCATATATATTACTCAGTAGTATATATGAGAACAATATACACACTTTCTACCGTTTAAGTGTGCTGGTTAAGTACGCGCAGAGAATGATGGACAACGAATGGAGCCGGAGACCGCCTGAGAACAAGAGAGGTGGGGACGGTCTCTTCAAAATGGTTAAGAACGACACAAGATAGATGGATAGATATGTAGCAGAGGCATGTTCACCAGTGGACAACTGGAACTGGATGTTAATATCAAACTGCAAAAACAATCCTATCAGAACTAAAGCACTACGAAAAAAGAGTTCATTGGAAATACATTTCCTTTTAATGAATGGTGGTTATCATATATCCAAGAAACGTTTGCAAAAATCTAAACGAGTGAATTGGAAGAGTGAAGTATTGTAAATAGATTATGAGGTTAAAACTTTATGTAATCGAGGATTACTGATTGAATCAAATGACAAATGATTCTCGCGCTGTATGCTTTAAATTCTAAATAGATAAATCTAGAAGGTAAAAAATTGTGAGTTAATCAAACTTATATGCATACACCAGACATTACATTGAACCGCTGGAAATATAGGAGTGACAAATTGTTCCAAAACATTTCAAGCGAAAATAGGTTAGGTTAGAATGTCAATTTGGTTTTTAAAACAGATTTCAAGTCTGTAGTTTAAAATAACCCTAATTAAAGAAATTCTATAAAAAATGGCTTATGAAAATCTTTCACCGGTCTCTTGGGTGTATAAATAAAATGCTACATACCACAGTTCACAAATTGTTATATTATGAACCAGTACTATTATAAAATCGGATATACCTTTCATAGAAAAAAAAATACCTTTTTTGGAATAGCTACACAATAAATATTTTTAGAAAGCAACTGCTATAACTTTTACCAAAGGTTATCGTATACACTGGCCTATAAATATTGGATAAGTAACCTCTAAAATTATTTTTGACTTCGAAATCTGCAGAAAAATTAATAACCTTTGTATTACATTAAGTTCAAATATTGATAACATTATTGTTTTGTCATATAGGAGATTGATCCAACTATCGGAATTTTAGTCGTTACATCACTGCCTTATTTGAAATAAATACGGTATACACAAAGAAAATACCACGGAAGTCTTTGTTCATGATAAATCACTACCTTAAATAACATAAATAAATACTAATAAATAAAGAATTCAACATATTATACATTATTCGACAATATACAAAACAAGTTTCATTATCATGCATGCACTCTTTTGGTTTCTTATAAAGACTTTAGCTACAATCAGTGCAGTTCAGTCTTATATTTGATACTTACAGGTCAAATATAAAGTCCCCAATTGAAAAACCTTCCCCCAAAAGGCTTAAAAAATTTATTGGCACATATTACAAGAAGCCTATTTATTTTTTGTAAGTTATATTGTACCAAGTATTGTATTAATCTCCTACGACGAAGATCGACGTATTCAGTCAGTAACATATCTGCGAGCTGTTAATCACTGAGTGTTAGCGTTTTCTGTTTTTGTCACGGTTTACTTATAAATGCCACCAAAGTTGTCGTAAAATATCCGAGACGAAACTTCACCATAATCGGTGTTTGGTATCATGGTCCACTTAACAAAAAAAAATGTACTCGTAGTTCTTAATTTCATTCACTTTCAAAGGTGCATTCAAAACTGTTATACCTTTTCTTATTTCATGCATCATATAGTTATATTTATTGTATATTCTCATATTTTTACTTATTTTCATTTCTGTAACTTTACCGACTGAAATAAATAATTGTTTACCAAATTTTATTAGGGCAATTAGACTTCTACAGTCACACATTGTATAACAAATGCGTCTCTGTTATAAAAAAAAATCGTTGCAGCAAAGCGGTACCTTGCAAGTTAAGCATAATAATATCAACAACAAATGAACCAGTAACAAGACGATTCGTTACAGACTGACATAATATAAAAGTAGCTAGGCAAGGAATCGAGGTCAATATTAATCAATCATTAGTCAATAGTTAATTGTAGATTGTAAGATGTAATCCTAGTTACTGGTAGTGAATAGTCACACCAGACGAACTCAAAGTTAACCGTATAATTTGCATCTAAGCATGTTGTTAATCAATAACCGTGAATCTGTAAATAGTAAGACGTAATAGTAAATAGTAAGAAGTAACAATAAAAGATGTAAGAACCAATTTATACATATATTTCCGACCTTCCGTACCACGAAGATGAGAACCCCAGAGATGTCAACCGGCCTATACAAGAATACCAATATTATCTTATGCCGTTCCACGAACATTTGTCCCTTTATCATAAGGCTTTACGCACAGGGTTGTAAAGCCAGAATGATGATAGTGAACTTTGATGACTTATGACCTATTGATAGAAATTAAGAAGTAGGTAAAAGAGGGTCAGAAACCTCAGTCCGACACCTGAAATAGCACAAGAATATGAGAAGAACTAGAGACTCTAAACTGGTTCTTTCTTGCACCAAGAGGAACTTATGAACCGTTTTAAGACTAGAACTTATTGACCCCAAATTCAGTAAGATTCTTTCCTACACCAGGCTGAACCTATTTACCAAGTTTCTCCAAGATCCTAAGACTTTCCTTTTCTTCGTTACACCAGCCTTAAAACTTTTCTCTCAATAAAAAGAAAAGTCATAAGAATATTATAATAAGATATATTAATAGGGTTCTTCGTTATACCAATGGAAACTAAGTAGCAAAGTTTAAAGAGTAAATACGTTTTCCTTAAGTGTTAACACATTGAAGAATGAATATAAACTGAGTCAAATTTCAATAAGAACCTGTCGTGCCCTTAATAATTTTTAAAATATTTATGATATATATGTTTGTTTTGAGGTTTCCGCGGGAGCTATATGTGCTGTCACTATTTTTCCGGGTTTGACTCCGCGTTGTAAAATGCTGGTTTTCTTGAAAACCATTGTTTTGGCGACGTTTCGGCAAGGTCTCACTTGACATTCTCAAGCCTGGTGGATCTACTTCTCGTCGTTACTCGATTAGTACTGTAAGTACTGTGAGTACTAATCGAGTAACGACGAGAAGTAGATCCACCAGGCTTGAGAATGGCAAGTGAGACCTTGCCGAAACGTCGCCAAAACAATGGTTTTCAAGAAAACCAGCATTTTACAACGCGGAGTCAAACCCGGAAAAATAGTGACAGCATATATATATAATCTGAACACATCTTGTTTTTTTAAAAATTTTCATTTTTTTCTGGTAAACGATCACGTAAAAACCCTTCTCGAATTTTATGTTTCAGATTTGCCATTCCAGAGATTAACTATCCGGCATGAAGTAATTTTTAAACGACGAATTTTTGACGCCATCTTTAAAATACACGAAAAATGAAAAAACAACAAAAGAAAAATTTCTTGTAACCTTCAAAAGTTGTATAATAACATAGAAGAACTCTAATTGCCATATATAATAAATAAATAAGATAGAAAGAAATTGTTGAAAATGTACCATTTTTTAGCATTCTAGACCATAAGTAGGTAATAGTACCATAAGACTATGCCAACTGAAATTTTATATTTATATAATGAAAATTTATAAGAGCTGAGTTACGAATTATTTGCCAAGCAACTTGCCAAGAAAAGTGCCAGGGAAAGTTGTTACGGTATTCTCGTAATAATACTTTTCTTTGCGTCATTGGATTGGAGATAAATTCTAATTTTGTATCCCAAATTTTCAGAAGAGTTTTCGGATTTTCTATATGCAAACTTCCAAAACGTTATATTTACAGCTGTTTTTGCAAATTTTCATTTCTACCCGCTGCAATTTTTTTATTTATTGTACAAGCAACTTTATGATAGGAAATTCACTTGCGAAAAATTTTACTTGGATGTATTTTTGTCGTAGATATGATACTTTCGAAGATATGCAGGTTGAAATTTTGAAAAATAAAAGTATATAACGTCTATTTTTTGTTCATACATTTTTCCGGATATTGCTGCAAAAATCTACGTTCGGATTCACCACAACTAACCCTATACAGATCCCAACTGGTATAAGATAGATGAAGAACACTTTCTACAAGTATGCGTTTTGAGCTCGTCTACACGTACCTTATATGTCAAACAAAAAAAAATTAAGTCACCATATGCACTTTCTCAGGCGATAAAGGGGTAACATGATAAAAGAAGTCATTGATAACTTTTTCTACCTATAAAAATCTGATAATGAATCAAAACTTGGTACAAAATAACTGATCACAATATAGTATATTTACATATGTAATTAAATTAAATAATTTTACTGGGTTTATGTTTTCGTTTAAAGTAAAAAAACTGTACTCAACTTTGAACAGTTGAATGATATCGTACAAAAATACTAAATTACCTATAACAATGCTTTTATATACAAGGAAGAAGTTATATATTTAAAAACTAAATTAATAATTCACCCCTACGGAGGCGAATGAGTTCTATTTGACCGATTATTCCTATTATTTCTAAAGTTTCTATTGCCATTGTGCCTACTGTGGTAGCTATTTCTACCTCCTCTTCGCCTGTCCCTGTTAAAGCCCCTCATTTCTCTATTACCACCGCGGAAACCCCCCTGGTTCTCGGGTGGATAGTAATCATCGTTGAAGTTAAAATTTTGCGGTTCCTGTTGTTGGGGGAAACCACCGAAGGGCATTGGTGCATTTCCTAATAATCCCCCGTTCCTCGGATCGAAGTTGATTGGGAATTCTGGATGCATGTTTGGTATGCCAGGGGCAGCCCCTAATAATCCTGGCTGGTTCATATTTGGTCCCATGGGAGGCATCATTGCTGGATTTTGGTTCATCATAGGATTCACTTTTGAACTGGCATTGTTAAGAATAGATAGTGCTGCACTTAAACTATGAGTTGGATGTGTGTTGGATCCAGGAATAACATCTAAGTTAGATAGAAGACTGTTTAGCACTGGGTCATGCATATTGGATGAATCGTTGCGCAGACTTAATTCTTGGTTTAACAGCAACTTCTGTTGGCTGGTTAAACTCTGATAAAAGGGAGAACTTCTGATCATCGTTATTTGTTGGTTAAAATTCATGGAAGTTGTTACTGGTTCAGATTTCGGTTCCTCCGTTTTCCTTAGGCGAGGATCAACTCGCACAGTAGAGGTGCATGCTTTCGGGCTGGCCTTTGGACTTAAAGGAGTGTCTCGTTCCTCGGTGCTGAGGCGGAAGATTTTTCTTAATCTAGGATCTCCAGTTTTTTCGGCATCGTTTATACTGAGTTTTAGACCAGTATAATCAGGCCTCGGTATTTCTGCTATTACCAGTTTCCACGTTAAAGGGGGATGCGAATTAAAGCTGGCATCGATCTCTGAAGCTGGTGTGTAGTTTTGAATACCTTTGAATGGCAGTTGAAGACTTCTAAGATCGACATCAGATCTCAAGCCTGAAATAAAAAATATTAATAATGTTATTTGTAGAAGTATAGAATCCAATATTGTAGATGATTGCAAAAAATATGTAGTTGGTGTTAAAATATACACATCTAAGTAAAAAGTCACTTTAAAAGAAATAGATCACTTTCCAATGAATTTGTTTTATTTTACATACTATTACAAGATTTTAATTGGCTGTAATTATTTTGTATGTTGAATGTAATACGATACTTAATATTAAATCGAAAAGCACATTACAAAAAGTGTCATAAATACAATTAACAATACGTCACAGATATCTAGGAAAGTCAATTTTCTTCAATATCGCATTAGTCAGCGCATACCATAACAATGATTTACAATGACTCACAATTTAAAAGCGAATTAAATTTGTTATCGACAATACATATTCAAGGTTGCAAAATAAAATATCTGACCAAGATATCTAATTTATAAATGCAGTAAAAGGCAAAATCAGAAGCAAACTAGACAAGAAAGCGAACTAGACAAGAATTATGGTAGATAAAGATAAGGAACGCACACTGGAATAACTGTCAGAATAGAAACATGATAATAGTGGCTTTCGAAAAACAATATTTTTATCATATATAATAACTTTTACCTGTATCCCTTAAAATTGTAACACTCATTAGCATAACAAAGAATATTAAGTATTAAGCAAGGGTATATGAATATGTGTGATTATTTGAGTTACCTCTAATATCAATATCTTCGTCAGAAGAAGCAGTTTTGTCCAAACTTCCTTGTTCATAAATCGTTACTTTATCTGGTTTAAGTGTAGTTTCAGTCGAACTCTGCCTTCGTCTATGTCGTGGATCTGTTGACAATCTGGGATCCACCCTTGGGGTATCGCTCTTGTCTTGATTTAATCTAGGATCCTAGAAAAAAGATATATTAGATTAAATCAATGAAATCAATAGTTGTTTTCACTTCACAATCCTTTTTGTGGATGGTGTATTTGACATATTATATCTAATTCATATATAACCATTTATATACACTATAACTTTTTAACAACTAATTATTTCAAAGTCCTGTCAATGTGTTACCCTCGCTGCTTACTTTAGATTTTCCAACGAAATTACATTTTTCCCACAAAATACCTACAACAGCGTAATCTTTTCTTTTTGGAAGCATAGCTTTCTTATCGCGGGCTACGGACAGAGCGGTGGATCGCGCACAGCTTTGAGAAAAATAAAAATGACTGAAAAGATAAAATGTAAAATGTATGGATCGTTGATGAATCGTTCAAGTATTACGTAACGCAATTAGGGGGAGGGGCGATGTTGTAAAACGTTACGTTGCGTTACAGATTGAGAGGGGGAGAGTTCGAACAAGGCGTTACGCAAAATTCTTTTCTTACTTAAGAAAAAAACTATGGAATTATAATCCCTCAAGTTAAAAATCCTTTTCATTTATGTTTTACAGGGGAATTCCTCGATTGTTTTGTACAATATTGTTATTTTGTTCCTTTTTTATGTTTTACGGGAAATCCTTCGACTGTATTGTACGTCCTTTTATTTTGTTTTCGTTGTCAGTAACACACCTAAACACGTTACTGTAGTCAGTATTGTTAAATTGAATTCATACTGTAATAACAAAAGTTGAAAAAAAAAACTTGAAAATTGACAACAATTGACAATGCTTCGGCAGAACATAGGAAGCCTGAAGATAGCTATCAAGATTCAGCAGAATTTAATCTAGCATAGTATCGCATTCACATTCGTAAATCACAATATTTTTTGCAAGTGATTAAACGTGATTTGCACGAACAAATGCTACTGTTACCGATTTCCTGCAGTCAGCCTACCCAATCCTTCAAACCCCAAGTAAGCTCGTGGTGCTTGCTCAGTTAGATATAGGACCATGCAAGTTTTCACTACTTTTTGAGAGGTTTTCATTTGATCTGTGGCCTCCACTGAAAGCATTTAAGCAGGTGCCCTACGATTTTTTTTGTCCATAACTATAAAGCCACATCAAGAACACAATATGTGTAACCAGTAGGATCTATTTCACATTCCACACTAGTGCTTCCCACAGCGACTTGCTAAGCTGCCAAAAGGGCAATTCTCTGCATTGTGTGCTACGTTGATGCAAGTGATTTAATAAACACTCTTCGTCTGCTCTCCGGTTGCCAGTAGTGAAACATCTGAGTATCTGGCAAAACTATGGACAGATGAGTAGTAACTCCAATTGAATTGTTTTTTAAATACTCTTTCTTCCATTATTATCAACAAAATATTTAGGAACTCTATCAGTAGGGTTACGACATACCCTGGAGCAGATATTAGATCTAATCACAACCTTTTAGTCTCCGATGCAAGTGAAAATAAAACGAATAGAGAAAAAACATCAGCAGAAGAATTTTACTAAATGTCAACAAAAATATAATAGATAATGATGTCAACAATCACATGAAAGAAATAAGAACGACCGAAAATATAGAAAACAGAAGTTATTTCGTGAACATCTGACGAAGATAGTAGAAGACGGCTTCAGCCGTCTTCTACTATCTTCGTCCTAAGAAATTATTCATTACGAAATAGACCTAGATGAAACCCAGTTTAGATTTAGGAATGTGCTGGGTATCAGTGAGGAAGTTTTTGGCAAAAATGTACTCCTCCAAAAATGTCGCGAGCAACGTAAAGCTATTTATCTGGCTTTTTTTTATCCATTTCGAAAATGCTTTCGATAGGGTGAAGCCTGGAACGCTTTTAAACATATTAAGAACCGAAGTCATTGATGGTTGATGTGAATGTTTCTAGGACAAAATTTATGATTTCAGTCGCCAACGTCACAACAATACTTCCCTACAGATAGGTCAACAAATCATTCAGAGAGTTACTAACTACTTGTAATGCTACATTGCAGACCAACTAGAACCAAGTAAATAGATCAAGTGCAGAATTAAAGCCACTCGCACAACGTTTCGAAAAATGAAATCATTTTTCTCTGACCAGAGCTTAAACATAAAATTACGTCAAAGAATGATCTATTGCTATATTTGGTCATTATTGTTACATAGCACTGAGACCTGGACTCCCAAGGCTAATACAATCGATTGTATCGAGCGACAAATGCCGCTCACATGTCGTATATTGTTAAAAACTGTTACAAGAAACATTTCATAACTAAAGCATATTCTTCGAGAACATCAGCAGAGAATATTTCAGTTTATCATGAAAGGTAACATCAAAGGCTGCAGAGGAATTGGAAGAAATATGTCATGGCTTAAGAACAGAAAGAAGAAAATACCTACCTCGTAATTTTATTTATAATTTTTCTTAAGACTACGATTTTAATTTGAATACAATGTTTTATTTTAATTAGATACAGTTAATAAAATGTTTACCGTTTCTAATTGTATTGCCAAATGCAGAAATAAATATATTAGTTTAGGAGTTTATTAATAAAAAAGTTAAAATACAAGAATTCATGAGAAGAACCATCCGTAAGAACCAACCAGACAAAAACCAAGAAGTGAGGATTACAAAAATTTATGTAAGAATAAAGTAAGGAAAACGTAAAAAAATTGTAAGATTAGCAGTAAAAGTTTATTATTGCGAGTTAGAAATCTCTTGTTTTATTTACTATTATCGCAAATGCGATTAAAACAATAACAAAGTTATTTTACCGACTTTCCGGTAATTTTCGCAACATAATTGTTACTTTTAGGTAAAAATTATCACTAAGTGTTACGTAACGTTTAGGCAGGGGGAGGGAGGTCGTGTAAATGGTTACGATGCGTTAAATAAAGGAAAGAGAGCCAAAATTTTTCAAAAATTGCGTTACGTAATACTTGACGCCCCCTAACGACTGATCGCCTAACCATACACTACGTGAAGTAGTAATACAATAGAAAAATAAATAAATAAAATAATATAAAACCCAAAAATTAATTAAAAGTAAAATAAAGTAAAAAAATTAAAATGAAATAAAATAAACTAAATTAAAATAACAGAATAAAATAAATAAAATTATAATAAAATTAATCGAATCGAAACGAATCGAGTCGAATGAAATTGAATTAAATTAAAAACGTTTCATGCGTAGACGATAAGAAAGCTATGATTTCCTTCCTCGATTACTCCCGAAGTGCAACACCCCATTTTTATTTTAATGTGCACTTTCTGTTGATATTTTTATTTAACAATACCATCTTAAAAAAACAACACAATATTTTTGAAAACTCCACGATATTTACTTACACACTGCATGCTTTACCACAATGTGCATCTTCAGATGTTAAGGTGCAACTGAATTACTGAATTAATAGCTAATAAATTTTTGATAGCTTTATTATGCTTTCATTGCACGTTTCTCTATATATGTAGTTTGTTTTATTACATTTAAATATTCGTTTAATATATTATATAAATCTTTTCTTTGTTTTATATTTGTGATATACATTCTATTTTTCTCCATGATTAGTTTTAAGTTTTTTATCAATATATTATATTAATGGTAAGTAAAACTTTCGAGAGAGAGAGAGAGAGAGAGAGAGAGAGAGGCATAAAGGATTAACGTCCAACTAGACTGAATATGGATACAGCTGGGCCATGACGAGACTTATCTCGGTACTTATGCAATCAAAAGTTCAGCAGCCTTTATGCAGATTACTCTTCAATGGCGACCATGGATAGAAAATAGCCATAAATCCAAAAGATACCGGGCAGTTATCTTAAAAAAAGAAGGAATAACCCAAAAGAACGTGAACAGTGTAAGATAGTGCAACCCATCGACTGGAAAAATGAAACTAAATATTTAGGATTCACAATGGACCAACATTTAACGTTTACACTACACGTTAATGTGGTAGTCCAAAAAAAAGACATGGCCAGAACCACAATTAGAGGACTCATATGAGGCAGTAAATTAGCAATGAAATATAAATTAAGACTAATTCCCATAACGTACGCATCTCTTGCATAGGGACACACATGCTACACAAATAACCAGAAGATACAAGCAACCCACAACGAATGCGTCAAGCAAGTAAGAGTACTAGAAACGATAGAAGAAAAGGCCAGAATATAATTCGCTGAGCTAGAAAATCGACCAAACCCGATCTTGCGAAAGATATTAGAGAATTATTTGTTCCATCAATGAAGGCACATAAGACCAAAACAAAAAGTGTTAGTAAACATTTAACGAATACTAGATAATTTTGTAGCTCTATTAAAAGAAACAGTAGGCACAATTCAAGAAATCACTCATGAACTAACCTATATTTTATTTCAGATACCCCACTCCCTTTAAAAAAATATATAAAAATTACAAAATGGTCTTGGTAAAAAAAACGGTGCAAGCTAACAAAAAAATTTTAATAAAGTTAAAAGCTAAAGTTTTAAGTTTAAAAAACCTTAAAAAACGGATCGGTGGCGCCTACACACTCGAACACCGAATCGGACCAAATTCAGAGCTGGGACTCGGCGCCCGGGCAAGAAACAACAAATCGACAATTTCATTAATAGCATTGGAATACGATATGGAAAGCATTTTGATGAAAGTAGCCTCCCATAGAACATCAACATGCTTGAGGGGAGAGATGAGGAAATTTTGGAGAGCATTGAGGTTTGGAAGAATGGTCCTTGATTTACTCGGACCTATACTCCTCACCCTAATGAATGATTTTTTAAATCTATACTGGCGTTGTATTACTTTTTCTCGCTGGACGACCCGGACGAAAACGCTGTTTGCTTATATATATATATATATATATATATATATATATATATATATATATATATATATATATATATATATGTATCTTAAAAAAGAGATCACTTGAAAGAGAAAAAGAGTATAGTAACATCTGACATGTATGCACTAGCGCACTAGCATAAAAAAATTTTCGTATGTGTATGTATGTATATTTATGTGTAAAAAATGATAGTCTGATTATTTTCTGATAAGAAAACTTTTCGGAGGACGCCAAAACTTTTGCAACGAACGATAGTTAATCTGGATTCATAGAAAAAATAAATGTTCATATGGACGTCTTGTTAAAAGATATATAATTTTAAATGCAATATTAAATCAATTTAAGGCTATTTTTGGGAGATGCTTCTTTGTAACGAACAATGCCGTCATAACAGATACTACTTTGGAAAGATCTAAGAAAATTACTTTTCGGAAAAAAAAACTTAAAATTCAAAACTTGTTTTTATGAAATTAAGCAACGTTAATTACCTGTCTTGAAACTCTTGGATCTCGTATTTCCGGAGCAGTCCTTGGTGGAGTAGTATTCGGTGTAACTTCAGTTGCTTGTGAGGTGGCTGGTTTATTCCCAAAAGGAAACTGGTTACGATTTTGGCTCATCGAAGTTAGTAACTTTGTTACTTCTGCAGAAATATCTATTTTTGAAAGGTCTCCTAGTTTGTTCACCACATCCTGTGGTTTAATCTGGGGCGAATTGTTCAGGAATTCATTGCTAGAGAAAATTAAATAATTATCGTATTAATTTAAACCAACTCTTAGGGGTCAAGATTACTATACATTTATTTTACAATAACTGATGTTGTGCAGTAATACTGGAAAAATTTTGCCATATATTGTTATCAAAACAAAGTTTTATTAATAAATAACGTAGATTTGTTTAGAAAAGAACTTACATCTCACATTTAGTATTCCCCGTGTCAAATCCATGTGTAATTATTGACAGGAGTTCACTGTATGATAAGGAAAAACAGGAAAAACTTACCTTATACTTGCTGGTTCTACGGATTCTCCTTTACTGTCTTTGACATCTTCGTTATCAACTTTTATTGTCAATCTATTTTCGTCTTCATCGTCGTCATCCGAATACCAATTAATATTTTCATCTAATTCAAAATCTTTGTTGGCCTCAATAACAGTGACGTTGTCTTTTTGGTTTGCTTGAATTCTCATGTACAAATCTCTTTGTGTTTTTGGCAAATCTGGCAGAAGAGATGTTTCTTCCTTTTTATCATCCTCAGTGTCGATCTGAAGCATCGGTTCGTCTTCTTGGTCGTTTTCTACATTAGAAGTCGCTATGGACTTACCAAATGCTGGAGGCATTTGTCTTATATCTATGTCTTTGGTTGCCAATAATGACTGATGCCTAATATCAGTGTCTTTTGTTGACGAAGATAAGGGTAACATAGAAGGACGAATATCTACATCTTGTTTCGAACTTTGCAATATTCCTGCTTCACGTTTGTATTTTTCGATGTCTATGTTGTGACTGTCCGGGAATTTGTTCGTTAACGATAATTTCGGTGGGGGTAAACTTGTTAAATTAGGCGGCAATGTTCGCATATCTATATCTCCATTACTGAAACAAATAAAATTTCTTTAAATGTGAATAACTTAAAGACTATGCAAATTAAGTCACGAAGATTGTATATGAGATCTTATTGCGTAAGTTTATTACATACAATGCGTAGTTTGACAATACGGTAAATGTTAATGAACACTAGTAGACCACCAGTAAAATCTAAAATAGTGAATGCTTGCCTTTATTTAGGACGAAACATGCGCAAATAGGCAATGTTAAAAAAAATGATTTATTAGGCCAACAACAGGAAAGGTGGTTTTAAAGAGGAAAAGTTTGAAACTTTTAACGAAAATTGGGGTAGCTTCAAAAATGTTGAATATGTGCAATATTAGTGGAGGTACTAAAAAATCTGATTAGATGTATATAAGTAATCATTTTTCAAGTGTGAAACAACTAAAATAAATTATGGATTCCATTTATCCCAAAAATAAACTATCTAATTAAAATCGATCGACTGAAAATAACTAGAATATATATTACTAGATACTGTATGTTGCCCAATGGGGTCCCGAAGATTGCATGTACTTGAAATAATGGATATACAATAAGTCAATCGGCTGCAGTACGACCGCTGTGCGACAAATTATTTCCAGTAAAAAACCTGCAATAATTATTTTCAAATCGACAAACACTAGCTAAAAGGTAACTAATCGACCTAAAGGATTGTGAAAACTAGTTCTTTAGCAAATAAATCACCATTTTCATGAGACTCAATATTATTGGTGTGTCTCAATGAAGTATTGACAAAAATTGCTTAAAGAATCCTGTCGTGGACTACAGAATTAACTTTATAGTATTCAGATTTAGAATAAAAATGAAAAAAAAAACGAAACACAAATGAAATTCATCTACTGTTCTGTACATAATGTATATCACATTCACAAAATTGTAATATTCATCATATATTCCGGATACATCTTAAGTGCGTATTTGAATTTGATTTATTAAAAATCTAACACGACATAGCAGATCGAGAATTTGGGGAGCCTCCCTCGTAAAATTATGACTGCAAATATGTTTCCCTAGTGATGTTATTGGCCCTTAGCAACCACAAAACAAGTTATACTAAATTTTCTCAAAATAAAAGTGAACACAGACTTTTTACTAGTTTTCAATTAAACTTTGTTTCTTAAGATGTAACTTCGCGTGATTTCAGTTCGCAGATAAGTTTTTCGTGAACAAAACTACTATTGAGCAAAAAATACATCAGATTAAAAAAATGGTTGAATAACTGTCGCAAATAACACATCAATTGAAAATATACATCCAAAAAAAGGGTTAAAAATATATAGCAATTTTCACTGATAATTGATAAAGCGCAAGTATCTCTTCTGTAGTAGAAACTCAATAAATAACTAGAATGTTTATTAAGATAAGACAACCTGAAGAAATTAAACATGATCTATTGCGATCAGTTATAGAGCTTCAAGGCAACCAAATACAGGTAAGCTAAACTAATAAGTTATTTAACTCTTTTTCTTTTATCCGACTTAACTTATAAAAAATGGAATTTAACATATATAGAATAGAAGAGATTTAAGAGAGTGGAGCCACAGAATTAAAAATATTCTAGTAGACGAAGCTATGTTAAAAAGGATAGAGGTACACACCCACCCATCCACCCACTACGACACAAAACTATTATGGTTACACCTGGATAGGTAAAAAGGAGGCCCAGAAGTTGGACGCTATTTTGGGTAACGTAAAAATCAACCCAAGGTATTTTGAAGGACACAACGACGAACATTGGGAAGTTGGTCAACAGAGTGACGAAGAAAACTCAAGCATCCTACATGTTCTAGAGGATTCATACAAAAAATAGAACAGATAGGTTTATTCGTTTCCTAAATTGTCCAAATCAAAAAGAAATATTCACAATTATCATATATAATATGCTGTTAGTAAAATTTATTAGAATTTTTTATTTATTCCCCAAGGGGACGAAATATTTTTAGACAAAATAAAAATAATACAAAGTGGTTACGTACTAACTATATTTATTACTAGATCAATCAAAAACTCATAGTAGAGAAACAAAATTTCATAGTACAGAAACAGAAATTATCCATATAAAACATTATACTTTAAAACATATACCTGTATATAATTTTGATTATTATATCTCTATGACCTGATAAAATATGGATTTTTAAAATGCTCTTAATAATAAATGTTATAAAATAAAAAAAAATGAAAAAGAATAAAAAATTAACTTGGATATCATCATATGTATGTAGTAGAATTTACATCCTAATACAATCTACATACATTGATTATTTTTCTAGAAAAAACAAGAAAAAAATATACCCCTGTTATATTGAAAGTTTTTTTAACGCTTTAATAATCACTGGATGCTTTCAAAGGGTACATTAAGAAAAACTCAACTTTTGTTAATTATCTTTAACAAAAATACCAACAATGCAATAAATTACAGTGAATTACACTTTATTTGCAGTCTATACGAATTCTTTTAATGATAAATAAATGGATAAACTTTTTCCTAGAGAATAATTTAATGAATTGGACGGACAGTTTCAGTTCAGCTAAGGCAGCACAGGCAGCTAAATTGCCATGTTCATCATTTATAATTAAGAAAACCAAACCAGAATAGTTTACACACAAACTTCCCAAAAAATCACTTATATTGACAAAAGTATCCTCAAAATTAGAATTTTTCTACAATATTCATTTTAAAATGTTGAATATTAAGCGGCAACGGCGTGTAACATATCTCGATTCGCACGCCTATATAAATAAACATTTAGATTATGCCTATTCTCGTTCGAAATTCTAAGACGAAATGTTAAATAAACCCTTTGAGGAAATTTTTTACGCATTATCCGCCAACGATCTTCTAGGCTTTTCTTACATGTTTGTCTTAATGATTTCATAATATTTTTTTCTTTAAGAATTGTTTATGTCTCAGCTTCCTTTACATTGTGTAAAGTTAACGTTTATCTTGAATGTAATTTCTAAATATTAAAATGTTTAACCTTTTTTTCATCATTTAAACGTTTTATCACAAACGTTAAATATTTAGTGTTAATTATAGTAACTTGATTAAGAACTGTGTATTGGAAATCTGCTTACCTTGTAATTCTCATGTCCTGATCTTGGCCATAACTAAATGGTTTCAAAGGAAAGTCATTAGGAATCGAAGAATTTTCAGGTTCTTGCCACCTGGAATGTCTATTTCTGGATTTGTCCATTTTCTTAGAATCTGTTAAAAAATATTTAAATAATGTAGTTTATAAACGAAAATAAATGTACAACTAAAATTTATGATAATCTGAAAATGATGATCTATATTTAAAGAAATGTCTTTCAACCTAAAGAGTATCTTAGTGATTTCAGTCGTAATTGAAGCAAAATACGACATTTTGCTGTAAAAAAATTACCAACAGAAATGCATATGCACAAAATTCGAACAGAAAACACTATATCAAGATACATTAAAACGATCAGCTATGACATATGGGGATTGTGTGTTCTATTCCATATTATAACTAAGATATATATTATAAAAACGGGTATACTCGGTCCGTTGCCTGTTCTGCACTTTTTATGAATCATTTCATTTATACGAATTAAATTAAAACATTTAATTCAAACGCATGATACTATGAACTAAAGATAAACCTACGCGCACGCAATTAGTCGTGTGACGTCATTTGGCGACAAATGTCACCAGAAATGTTTTGTGTTGTATGGAGTTTTGTCAGATTTAAATTGTTTTATCGTTTATCTTGTACGTTGACAAATAAATGTGTGCACTTTTAAATAAAATATATTTAATTATATTAAATTAAACTTTTAATTATGGTATTCTGTGCAATGGTGGGTTGTTCCAGCAACAACAATAAAAAAAGCAAAGTTATTTCGGATTGTCGTTTCTTTAGATTTCCAAAAGAGAAACAAGTTCGCGAACAATGGGTCGTGAAGTGCTATCAGCAACATAACTTTAATATAAACACTGCAAGAATATGTTCGAACCATTTTGTGGAAAGCGATTTCTGTATGAAAGAAAAAACGTTGGGTTTGCCTCAGAATAAGTGGAAATTAAAACGTGATGCAATACCTTCCCGTTATTTAATGACATTACCAAGAGCGCAGACTTCTCCTGAACAAAAACGATGTTTACGAGTAGAAAAAAGGCAGAATAGGGAGTTCTTAAAGTTGATGGGTCCATCACTCGATGTAGAAACACAATCGGAAGTACATATACAATGCGACAATGGCAATGAAGGAGACAAAGAGAACATTCCTAAAATAAACAGAACTGTTTCCACTAAAACGTTAAGGTAGTAAATCTAATTATAAAATATTAAATGTATTTAAACAATTTTTCATTTCAGTGAAAATGATCCAGCTGAATACACTAGAATTCTCGAAACTGAGAATAAACTTTTAAAACAATTACTTCACAAAGAAAGGGAAGAAAAGAATAAAATTGAAAAAATATTTACAGAAGGGCAACTTCGTAAATTAAAGTTGGCCAAGCAAGTAAAGTGGAAAGTTGAAGATATTGCTTCGGCTATTTCACTGAATGCAGCAGGTCCAAGGTCCTATCGTTTATTGAGAAAAAAAGGCTACCCTCTTCCTGCAGTTTTCACTTTAAGAAGATGGGCGAGCGCAATACACATTTAACCAGGTATTTATAATTCTAGGATTCTTCATAAATACTTATCAGTAGTTAATTTTATATGAGTAATAAGTATTATTTTAATTTTCAGGAATACTTAACACAGTGCTGACACTAATAAAAAACAATTCTCTCTCAGCGATGGAAAGAGTATGCGTATTACTTTTTGATGAAATGAAAATTCAAAGTTCTTATGACTATGATAAAAAGAATGAAACAACCTTAGGACCTAGCCAATATGTGCAAGTGATCATGGCTAGTGGAATATGCGGAAACTGGAAACAGCCGATATTCTACGATTATGAGAAAAAAATTACACACACTCTTTTATTTGAAATTATTTCAGAATTAGAAAATATAGGCTATCCTGTTTATGCTATTAACTCTGATTTAGGAAGCAGCAATAGGGGACTGTGGAAGTGTTTAAATATAACGGAAGAAACAACATGGTTTACAAATCCAATAAGTAAAAATAGAGTGCATGTGTTTGCAGATGCTCCACATATGCTTAAACTTTTGAGGAACCATTTTCTTGACCATGGATTTATCATAAATGAAAAGTTTATAACATCCAAGCCAGTTGTAGATTTACTCCACAATACACAAAATTTAGATTTGAATATTGCACATCAAATTAATGCTGATTTCTTAACAGTTAAGGGCGCTCAACGACAAAAAGTTAAATTAGCTACCAAATTATTTTCGCACACAGTATCGAAAGCAATTTCTAGGCTAGGATTATTGGGAATTTTTAAGAGTGAAAACAACTGGCTTGAATGTTCGGAGTTCTTTAAACTCACCAATGACTGGTTTGATGTATTTAATTCAAAAGTACCTCAAAGTGATTCACGAGATCGTTGCAAAGCGTATGGTTTAGCTTTAATTCAACAAAATAAAATTTTGGACAAAATGGAGAAAACCATGCGAAATCTTAGAAAAGTTGGTTCTAATACCGTGTTACCTTCTCAACGAGGTATAATAATTAGTATAAATTCTTTGAAGGAACTATTCATCGATATGAAACACGATTTTGACATAAAATATTTATTAACATATCATTTGAATCAGGATCCTTTAGAAGGTCTTTTCTCCATCATACGAGCCATTGGAGGGCTAAATGATCATTATACTGCTCTACAGTTCAAATACAGATTAAGAAATTATCTCATGGGCGAAATGATGAGATTATTTCCAGTTCGGCCAACACTGCTAGAATGGACCATATTCCAAATATTGCTATTGCGAGTGTATCAGTCAAACGAGATATGTCAAACCTTGATGTATATGAAACGATGTCGACGAGTTTGAAATTGTTAGTGCACAAATGTTTGAGGTCTTGAATTTATCTAATGATAATGAACATGCTGATCTGAAAAATGCGGCTGATATTGAGGATAAATATATTGAACGTCATATTCAAGAAGTGGAATGGGATGGTTTAGAAAACTTGGCAGGGTTTATTGCTTTTAAATTAAAGAAAACCGAAACTCTGGGGTATATTCCAGACAGCAATGAAATGTCGTTTTCGTGGGTAAACCATATTTCCGAAGGAGGTTTACTTAAACCATATCCAGATTTTCTAATTAAATGTAATGAACTGGACCATACTTTTAACAATTTTAACAAAGGGTCATTAAAATTAACCAAGAATTATTTAAAATCGCTAATGGATTTAGCTGTGTTAGTAAACGTATGTTCAGATGTCAAACATCTTGTAAATTATATTTTAAAATTAGAAAATTGAATAGGTATATCAAAGAAAAATCCAAAGTTAAGAAGAAGAAAATATTAAAAGTTGTAAAATAAATTGTTAAATAAACTTGTAAATTATTACAATGTACTTTATTTTATCAGTTGTATTAATTTTTTATTTTAATAAATCAATCCATTGTATATAAATTTCCATTTCCAAAAGGATGTTTAGTTCCTACTTTTTTATATAACTTTATTATCTATTTAAATTCTATTAATTTACATTGCTAGACTAACAGATATGTATATATAACATATTTTTAAGTTTTAATTGCATATATTTTACCTAACATTCCTAAATATTCTAAATATTTAAATAAAACCCTCTCTTTCCATATATGTTTTACCGACTGTGGATGATAAAGGGTTAGTGATAAAAGTGACTTTTATCACCAAGTGACGTCATGCACATCGACTTACAAAATTCGATTGCGAAGTGGGTTTATCTTGGAAGTCTTAGTATCATGATTCAAACATATGTCGTCGATGTAAGAATTGGGATATGTCAACTTGTCAACTAGGAGTCAGAATATTAATTAGAGCTTAGGATATTATTCTCGTTTTTAGCCTTAGTATAAATATGTACTTACCCCACAATCGAACACTAAGAGAATGTTTAATCGTAATTAATTCTGTTCGAAAAAAAGTCATAACTCCATGGCAACAAAATGAATTTAAAATTGAAGTAGTGCGAAAATTAGTTATAACCAAAAACGCTGTCATTTTGACTTTGTCAAGAATCAAAATTCTCAGTGTTAATGACAGGCTTTCATCATAGTACCATATTTTTATAGTGTATTATATTGTGTGTGGCGTAATAACATAAACGGAAAATATCTGAATCACCTAAGATATGGAAATGATATTGTAGTGATAACAGACAAAATGGAAAAACAGATAATGATGAACGAACTAAATAGAAAATCGGCAACGATAGGGTTAAAGGTAAAAGAGAATAAGGCTGTCATGAACATAATTCGAAAAACTGACCTATGTACTAAAAAAAATATACCCAATACCTAATGACAAAAGTATTCAATCAACGTAGGTATACTTCTTGTCTTAAATATGGCGCTTAAACTGGACGTTTACCAAGGAAATCATATAAAAAATGGAAAAAGAAAAAGATCCGTAGGGAGTCCAATGCTAAACATCAAACTAGTAGACAGGAAAAGAAATGATTGGATCGACAAGAAAACAAAATTATTGAGGGAAGTCTTAACACAAGTAACAAAACTTAAATAAAATAGAAATTCGCTGGAATTACTCAGGCAACAAGACGGGAGAAGGAATAAGATAGTTATAGATTGGAGACTGTGAAACTACAAATTTAAACGAGGGAGATCTGTAAAAATATCCTGGCTCAAAATTGATGCAAATTACCTATCATAAAGATGCATGGAGTAAAAAAAAGTAAAGTTCAGGTAACTTTCTGGCTAAGGTCTAATATTAGGGTTTTCATGTCACGGACGGAAAAGCGGTTTAACACCATGGTTTTAGGTTCTGTGTGTAGAAAATAGACGAAATATAAAAAATAATTAATAAATAATGTCATACATGTGCAAAGTAAAAGTGAACAAACTTTATCACACTTCCAAAGTTCAACGTCTATGATTTTATGCTAGACGAACTTTCGATTCATTCGACAAACGAGTGTATTAATTTTGAGGATAATATTAACTGAGGAAAAGAAAGGACTTACCAAATGCATCTACCAATGAAAAACTCATTCGCAATGAAATAGTGCAGTCATTACTTTCTTACACAACCAAGGAGACATGACGGATTAAAAAAAAACTACCGTCTTATCAGTTTGCTTTCATACA